GAACATCGCATTTCGGCTGGATGTCGTCTTTGAAGATAATATTTCAGAAGGCATCGCTCAAGCGCTATCTGAATAGTGCACAGCATTCTTGACATGGCTCAAGTACGAGTCCACGTCTTTGATACACAACAGTTCGCTGGAATGACTGTTAAATCGAAAGGGTGGACGCAAGATTTTCGGTTCTTTAGGTGGTCGGTTTCTCTTTGAGAGACTGAAATGCAACCCTAAGGCCGAAGGTGAACGTGCAAAGTTGACTCTCCAAACAGGAAACCATCCAGTTTATCCATTTGCTTACGCAGCATGGGTTTTTCACTGGGTATTGTTCAAATTTGTTGCCAGTACGATGTTTTTCCCCTTCGTTTTTCCCATTAATTTTCGTCTCTGGTTCGTTGGTATCTCTTGAAAAGATAGCGATATTATTGTTGAAATGAAGATTTGACTGGAATTTTCTATCAATAGGTATGCCTTTCTCATCCATACAGAGTACCTTCGTTATCCACTATAACAAGACACTAAACAGCTTTGGTGATATGGTGCCGCACCATGGAAGGCCTTTGTGATGAGTAGTCGATGAAAAAACTGAAAATTTGTGCTACAGTTCCGACAACAGGAAATTAGTGTTCGTATATACTACGGGTCCCGGCCTAGGTCTAAGAGCCCCGACAGTATTAAATTCGTGTCGGGGATTTTTTTACTTTCGAAGGTAGGATACTATATGGTTTGCGAAAACTACGTCTTAATTGTGGCTTCCATTTTTGGAGAAAGCGGAGCTGATATTATCGGTTCTTGGAGCCGTGCCTGCCTTCATGCTTTTTGCAGTAATTCCAGCTTCAGAGGGAAGAATTCCATGAGGTTTTCTCCCAAAAAAGAATTTAGGTTCCGAAACGATGATTGTGGAACAAAGAAAGACTAGTTCAGAACTTTTTTGTTATCGATTTTACTTTGTGGCGAAGAGTTTTAGTGATCTCATCTCCTTTCACCAAGGCGGAGAACGGAACAAGAACAATAGTCGCACAGATCGGAACGCCACTTTTTCGAACTATATTGTTTGTGGGCTGATTCCAACTACTTTTTTTTCCTGTACCGATGCAAATCCACTGGGAAAAATTTTCAACAACTGGCATTTATTATTAGCTAAGTTAGGAGTGTATTATGAACAAACTTCAGTTTCCTTCTTTTCTTCTGCAGCTCCTTAGTTGTAATGGAGAAGCGATTTGATCTTCTTGCTTGAGGAACTGAGTTGAATTCGATACGAATTCTAAGTTCTTCGATACCTTCGATGCTCGTAGTTTGATAGACTCTTCCTCAATCTGTATGAAACGTTTGGATAAGATTTTCTTCAAATTCAGAACGTTTTTTCACTTAAAGCTAGACTTCTTGTTCGTGGTCGATGGCTTGAATTCTTTCCCAGCTTACGGCTGAATCGAATCATCGAGCAAAGGCGGTGATCTGAAGCAATACAAAATGACGGGACTACCGATTTTTCAAGCAGGCACGTTGTATGTTTGTTAGAATATAGTCGAGCTCTGCATGAGTCAAGACTTTAGAAGACTCTCATGTCCAGCGACAGTATTATTTCTTCTGAAAAAACGAGTTTCCACGGAAGATAAATGCTTCAGACAAAAGTCTTGCAGGACAGTTCTTATTCGTATTTCTTCCTCCTAATCCAAAATTCTCGATCCTGTATTCGCTCTCGTTGGTCTTTCCTATTCTGGCGTTGCAGTCTCCAACAACAAATTTGTGACATCCTTTATCATTGCGAATAATATCCTCCAACTGATAGCAGAACGCACCTAATAGAACTCATCAGCTGCGTGGGTCGGTGAGTAGCAATTGATGACTGTGATCTTCTTATAACGCGTCACTTGAAGACGGAGGATGGCCATGGCCATGGGAGAAGAAAGGGTCTCATAAAACTAGACGAGATGGATAATGGACGGGTGGACGACAAGGCCCATTCCGCCGACATTTAATGAAGGGTTCTTTTCTCCGCGGATGGAGAAGGCCCTGTTGTTTAGTTGGCATTTGTTAACTTTCTTGCTTTTTGATGCTTTTTTGAAGGACGATAAGGTGTTCGTTCCCCACCGCAGACACCTGCAGTCCGGGGTTCTGCAAATACCTCAGCATCATTGAAGTTATATTTCGCAATATACACTACCGTTAAAAACTCTATATTCCTGTTTAGCAAACACGAGGTGTTATTCTATTTCTTCACTTAAGCACAAGCTAACGTTTCGACGGATTTCACCTTCCTCAAAGCTTCGAAAGGTCAAGTTGACTGCAATTTGCCCGGCCAAACACCTCCATGATCAAACAGAGAAAATGATAAACCAAAATTTTAATTACATTGAACACAGAGTCTTAGCACACTCACCACTTTCTATGAGTCTTCCACTGATTATGTCAAGTGAAGACCAACCGCTCAGAGTTCACACGGAAGCGTAGCGTGCTCCTTCCATCAGAATAACAGGTTTAAATAATGCCCAATATCACGCTTGACAGAGGCATTCCTGCCTCCTGCCTGCGTTTCATTTCCGGATTTCTGGAATTAATCGAGGAAGCCTCAAGATAGTAACTCCTACTCAGCATCCTCTCAGTTATGTCTCTGCGTCCTATGCGTGCCTAGTGGACTACTTAGTTTACGTTTACCGACTAGGAGTTCTTTTATACGGATACAGAGTGCTCTACCCGTTTCGTCAATGTATTCGTCCTCGTACGCTTTACAAGCGATCGCATAAACTATGCCCGAACTCATGCAATCACCGACTCTACCATTAGGGCAAATTATGTAATTTTGTATAGCATATAAGCGGTCATGCAGGGACCTGTGAACTAGCTGGCGTCTTAGAATACTCGGTGGTTTTTCAACTACGGTTACCGAATTCTCTAAGCCGTTACTTCTTAAGATGCGTTTTTCAACTGCACTTCATTTGAAATGAAGAGCAAGATAAACGTTAGCTCATTATAACCAGATTTACCGTTTAGGGGTTTGGGGTTTTCTGCACACGTATTCCGAGTTGCAGGTTCGTAGCTGCTTGTCGCGCCAAGTTCCTGGGCGCCTCTCTCTGCTCTCATCCCGTTCACACGCTAGTTACTGTTCGAAGCATTTTCCTTACAAGCGCCCCTGACGTGTGAGAGGGGTGAGAGGAGAGGTAATGAACAACAATATTTTTACTACTTCGCCTTCTGTTGCAGTTGGTAATATAGCCGTTTTTTGATAGGTTGATTTGAACAATCAGAAATGGAAGCCAGTTCTCTTTCTGTTTCTCTCGGCTGAATTTGATATACTCCAACTATACATTCAGTAACTCAGAGAATTTTCTCAATTTTTCTTTTGTTGAGCAAATAACAAACATCCATCTGTACATCTGCAGTAGAGTAAAGGCCCGGGATCCGTTAATGATGCTTCCGCTTCAGACATAAATGCGATGGTAAGGCTTGGCGTCAGTTGTTGTCACGTTGCTAGCCCTAAATTTGTGCGTAATAACGCCCAAACCATCTGAAAATTGAGCAGTGTAGGCATTATTTTAAGAGCATCATCAACTACTGAACTGTGAAGTCACACTTGTTTTTTTCTTATTCATGATGCATAAGTAGTTCGAATATGGCTTGTATTGCGGAGTCATTCCACACGTTTGTATAAAGAGCAGTAACGTTGAAGGACTCTATCACGCATGCGCTCTTGGGATGCGCGTTACCTAGACTATTCAGCAATACCTGGGTGTTCGTTAGATAAGTTGGAATGTGTTTTAACAACTGGGCAAGTATTACGGTTGTAAATCAAGTTATTCTATCCGTTGGCCCGTCTACACAGGTAATAAGTCTAACCTTAAATAACTATGGATCGGTATACACAACATCATCACTGAAAACTAACTTTTGAGTTTTGATAAATAAGTACAAGCCGGAATGTGTTGGTAAGTTAAATGAAAGTCCTATAGCTAGGTTTCTTCTCTAGTTGTAGAGCTTTGTGTGATTGCAGATAATGCAATAATTCCAATTCGTTGCTTAGGATGAAGGATAAAGCTCACGTTGTTGATCAATTTTTGAGCGATACGCCAAACATTCGGCTTTATTAACCACCGCTATGAATGAGCATAACTGGTCTATATAGTGATGACTTGCTATGTTCTATAGAGGTATCAGGTCAATACTGTTATTTTCCCAGACAAGTCTGGTATCCGTTTTCCTACCACAGAAGATAAGAAAGCTGTGTCCGAGACATGGGGTCAAACCAAGGAGCACTTGTGTATTACAGAGCACTTCTAACCGATGCGCTGCACTCGCTCTCTTTCAATTCGTGGTAACATTGAATAAAGTTAAAAAGCCCTAAAGGCTTTAAACGGCGATCAGTTTGTAGGCGGCGCCTTTTAAGATAAAAGAGAAAAGTTAAATAAAAGAACTATTCCGGTTTGCAATACAACTAAAGATAACCTTTATCAACAGCTCTTTACATAAAATTGTATATTAATACATACTGAAATTTTCAGTTTTTGAAATCTGGTCTGTGCAGTAATGGATACGAAATGCGTAGGTTTTTTCAATATTCTCCATTATTCTTCGTTAGAAGGAAGTTTTCGTAGATGCTTGACTTTATTTATTTACTGTTTAAGCATTTGGTTACAAAGGAACAGCTATAGCAGATCGAAAAAGAGATGATGTTCTCAGCCTCTTCAATTTTTACGCCGTCGTCTTACTCGAGGAGAATACAAGGAGTACAGGATACCATGTGCATGTGACATAAACAAACTGGTAATTTTTTGATTTTGAAGTTGCATAATACTGTAGAGAGAAAGCTTGGTTAAATCTAACACACATGCTTGCGAACTAAGGACCGAAATGATCATGCGATTAAATTGCCTTTTTAACTACTAGAAGTCGCAATCTGGAGGCCATCGCTGAGAGAACTGTGCAGAATTTGAAAATCAATTAGTAAGTTGCAAAAAAGAAAACCTATTTGAGGACTTCTTTCTAAGAAAGCTCAGCTGCGAAGTTTAGCCATGGGCCAAACATGCCTGAAGAGTAGCCCGACTACTGCATCATTGTGGAAGTGGATAGGAATTGCAAATGCTGGGTGGCCATCTACCAATGTCTTCAATGGAAATGAAGCATTGCGTGCCTTTGATAATGTGAGTTCAGTCGCTGTAAAACATACAGTAAAATCACTGTTTCATTCCACCTTTAGATTGTCAACGCAAACCCAACTGCAGTTGGCTGCTACGGCGCCTTTTGTGACGATCGTGCAACGTCAGCATACGTCTTCTCGCAACGGTAACTAACGTAGAATACAGCTTTTTAGTTCGAATCTGTAAAAGCATTTAAAATTATTATTTCAGTGAGGGAAGAACTGGAACATTAGTGTACACTTTCAGAGAGTCATGCGAAAACGGCAAAAGATGTACAAGTCCCAAAAGCGGTCTATGCGAATATGGACTGCTTGAATACCGTATGAAAGCTATGATAGTAGTGGCACTACTCTATCAATAACGATTTAAATTTCGATTTCATAAAGAATGACTTGGCTCCCACTATGAGCTGGCGACCTCGCTGTTCTGCCTCGCTCTTGAAATGCAATAATGGGACGTATTTCTTGCCGTTTGCGGATTTCACGAAAAATTTCCTTTCACAAGAATGTGGCATGCAGCAGGAATAAGATTGTGTATGCAAGGTGTTATATGTATGTTAGAAGCCATTCTAGCTCAAAAATGCTTCAAGTCTATGTCCTTACTCTAGCCGAGTCAAAATCATGAGGATTTGTCTATGTATCCTACACTGAGAGGAGAGGACTATGTTAACGACTTGATACTTGATGCTTGAATGGCCCGTCCTCACTGGCTGTGCGGGCTTCAGCATAATCACCACTTTTCGGAGACTTGCTGGTTAGGTTATTGTGGCTCCCTGAAGTTCCGAGGTCAGCCTGGCCAATGTCTGTCCAGGTCCTCACCACCAAGGGCGGTTGCAGTCCTTGCGGATCAAGAGGTGGACCCTAGTATTGGTTTACTCTTAGCTAGGCTTCCGGACGAAAACATCGGACTCCTTCTTTGCTTGAGAGACCTTGCCAGGGGATAAATCTCTCCTGTATGTGGCTGTTCGACACCCAGGAACACCTCCCAGCCACGATGAGGCGGTAAACCGTTGGGAGGATGTTAACGACTAGCGTAGAATAAAAAAATCATGAAAAAAAACTAATTCGAGGCAATGAGATAAAATTGTTGTGGAATGAAAGAAAAATATATAAGTGCGCGTTGACATAACTCGTCTAACGAATCGCCTTTCATAAGCCTCAATATGAATTAGTCTTTGATTTCGTATACTTCCTCTGTCAAGTTGAGTGTAATGTCGCT